TCACCCTTATTAAATTTGTGCCACCTGAAGTCTTTGATTTACCATGGTGCACCAGCTGCCTTGACAGTTCTGAGAGAGATATATGACTCCAAATAAAGTAGAACCCTTATTGCTCTCACCCTTATTGAATTTGTGCCACCTGAAATCTTTGATTTACCATGGTGCCACCACTACCTTGACAGTTCTGAGAGATATATGACTCCAAATAAAGTAGAACCATTGGAAGATGGACAGTATTATTTAGCTGTGTATCACATTTTCTGATTACTAAAAGCAGTATTGGCCATGAATGATAGTCACGTTTTGCGAACTTCGCGATTAACGTCCTCTGGTAATAATTATTCTTAGCATTAGAGTCGTCTGTTTCATTGTCTCATAACTGACATATGTTTATCTATCAAATATTATAGCTTTTTTGTTGATTAGTTTTCAAATTATGGACTTTAGTATAGGCCCAATAACTTCAAAATAACCTTGTTTATTTAAGGTTTGAGCAGTGATATCTACACGTTAATGGACCTCACACCAGGTGATGCTTTCCGAATCAAAGTAGCTGGAAAAATGAACCTATATGAAGGCAATATGACAGAGTTTTCTCGTGAAATTTTTGTCCAACTCTTACCACCTTCACCCTATCTGATTGTCAACCATGTACATGACAGTAGTGTAAAGCTGGAGTGGATTCCTCGAGGTGCATATACTACAAGCTATGGATGGAATGGCCTCAAATCAGTCGAAATCCAGTACCAACAGGTAGGTGATTATTTAATTGAAATTTTTTATTATACTCTGTCACGACATATTTAGTTACTGTTCTGGCTTGTAGGTTAATAATTACGCGAACAAACTTTCTTTGCAGTTCATTACAGTTTATCGCTAACTTTACAATATATTAGTACTAACTTTTTTGTTAGCAGGCATGACACAGCTTTAATTGAAATGTTTTTAAATCTAAAATTGCTACTAAAACACTGAACAAAGTTCACGGAGTGATAAGACTAACTCACCGATAAAACTGAACAATCACAATTGTTAAATTTCTCCTCGTACCTACAGCGCAAACTAAAAATTTACCAATTAATGTACTCGCTAACTCAGTAACTGATCGACAACACTGTAACAAATTCTCAAACTAAATAACAATCAATCAACAACTGACTAGTTAGTTAATCAACCAAAACAACAGTTTATTTTTTTGTTTCGTAATTATTCAAAAGACTCCTCCTTTCTCAACAAAATATGAGAAGTCATTACTCATCACTTTATATAAAAACTAAACATCCCTCTAGCGAACAATACAAACATCTATATTAATTCGTTAAAACATAGCAGCCTACAACAACACCGTTTAGACTTTAGACGTTTTAATCACATTAAAAATATTAAAATTTGGTTTGTTTGGAATTTCGCACAAAGCTTCACGAGGGTTATCTGCGCAGGCCGTCCCTAATTTCGCAGTGTAAGACTGTCATCACCGCCAACTCTTGGGTTACTCTTTTACCAACGAATAGTGGGATTGACCGTAACATTATAACGCCCCCACAGCTGAAAGAGCGATCATATTTGGTGGGATGGGGTTTCGAACCCGCGACCCGCAGGTTGCGAGTCGATCGCCCTAACCACCTGGCCATGCCGGGCATATTAAAATTTGATGAACATTGTTTATAGAATTTTAGGATTTGTTTTTTTCCATTTGAAATAAAGTAGTTTTAACTATGCTTATTTTATTTATTTCTAGATGACTCAGAAAAATGGAGAACTTCATAAGGAACAAAACTGTGAAGTCCTCATTATTAAGAAACCCTGTGCTGGCAATACGCATGTGATTGGTGGACTTCCCAAACCTAATTCACGTGTGTATACCTTCCAAGTTCGGGTAGAGAATGGCGCTGGTTTTAGTGATTGGGTTTCAGTTTTTATTAAATATTAGTTAATAGAAACCATATCTGGATATTTCAAAGCTTAACTTTCAAAACAG